AATAAAGCTTTGGTCATTTCTGGTTTTGTTCTGCCATGGGCTAAGCTGACACAGATATATCTTATCTAGTTACCAAATATATCCTGCTTTGTAGCTGAAGCAGTAAATAATCATTGACTATAATCTTACTGACAAGCTAGATTTTTGTAACCAAAATTATTTTTCTCCTTCCTTTTTCCAGGTGGGAAAAAAAGAAACAAAAGAAGGGTATAAAAAACAACACAATCAGAGACATTTCCTCCAATTTGCATTAAGATGGAAACCTTTTGCTTCTGGGTGTCCTTGTGGGTGGTGCTGGTTGGCTGTGTAATCAGTGATAATCCTGAGAGCTACGGTACAAATCTAAGCACTCGTGTGGACAATTTCACCACTTTTCGTGGGACAGAGCTCAGCTTTCTGGTTACCACTCATCGACCCATGAACTTGGCCCTACCCAGCAATGGCTCAACGCACAACTACTGCCCACAGCAGACGAAGATTACTTATGTTTTCAAGTACATTAACACTGTGATATCTTGTACTATCTTCATCGTGGGAATGGTGGGCAATGCCACTCTGCTGAGGATCATTTACCAGAACAAGTGTATGAGGAATGGCCCCAACGCGCTGATAGCCAGCCTTGCCCTTGGAGACCTTATCTATGTGGTCATTGATCTCCCTATCAATGTATTTAAGGTAGGAAGTAACCACAAATGCTCTGCAGGTTTCAATACATGCTCTGATTCCACAGTAAGAGAGTGCTGCAGAGCATTCTGACCTTCGGGAGTTTACTCTCTGTTTTTACTGACAGCAGTTTCTGCTAAATGGCAACTTAGCGGCATTTTACAGTTTTATTATTTGTTCAATGTTACACTTCTTTTCTAACTTAATTGTTACCCAAAGAGTATTTCAGGGATGACTCTTCAAAGTCATGGTCTTTCATGAATGGGATTCTTATGCCAGCCCTGAGCTTGCTGACGTGGATGGGCAATCTAGGGCAAGATCACTTGATTTTTATGAGATTCAGGGTGAGACTTACCAAGCCCCGAAAGTACCTCAATTAAATATATCTTCAGTGGCAGTTACCTTCTCAATGTGATGCTGTCCAGAAACCCGATATCCACAGTATGGCTGCAGATAAAAAGCACCTATTTTATTTTGACTGTCTGGACTGATGTTTGGAGCCAAAGGGCATGCTGGCTTTCCCTGGTTATCTGGGTGACTTAGAGATAATGGGGTCCACGTGATAGCAGGCCAGTGTTGACCTCATTGAGTGAAATTACTAAAACCATTTAAAACAGGCATTAGTTTACTGTTGCCTCCTTCATTTCTTTAGTTTACATTTATGGAGTACCAACTGCATGCCTGCACTTGAGTTGAGCAATAAGATCCAAAGATAAATTAGACAAAGTTAAGTGCCTGAGTGGGGAAGGAAGATAGCCAAGCCACTGCTCTGTGGTCACCTTGCTTTTGGGGCTAGTTAGTCCCCAAACAAACTAAAGCCAAAAGGAATTAGACATTCACTATTTGGTCTAATGGTTGTGAGGGGAAAATTGCTGCAAGAATGCAATTGAACTAAAATTCTAATGAAATTACATGATCTATGCAAGATATTATGGAGTGTCTTGATTCTAAGCCCAGGAAAACACTTTCTTAGCCTTTATCTTTTTCTTCTATGTATTATCCATAGAAATGAAACTTTTCTGAACAATAATATTCTGAAATATGACCTTAAAAAGCAAGTTTTGTCAATTGAAGACACGTTAAATTTTAACTAGAATGGTAGCCTTTGAGTTTCCAATAGATAAACTGCAGCAAAGTTATACTAGCATACCAGAAAAATCAGTGGTCTAACAATAAAGATGAAAATAATGGTCATAGTTTTGAACACTACAAATAAAAAAAATTTCAAAATTACTGCAGTATACTCTTTGCAAAATTGGGGAAATTAGACAACAAATAATAATTTTAGAAAATCATATACCATCTCTTCCCACAGAATAGCCTGAATACATGTGTTTTCTACTTGAACCTAAAATGGGATTTTAGAACTGAACAATGACGCAAAATTGAAAAGCCGTAATTAACTTAAAATGTTTAGCATATGCTACAGAACTTTAAATAATTTTTTTCTTTAAAAGGTTACTTATTTTCTCTTTATGAAAGATGATATGTATCTTTCATATCATCTGACTTTCTCATGATATAGTTCTTTAATAATAGATTTGAAAATATTGATAAGACTCATGCAAATTGTGACTTTTGAGCAGTAACGGTGTGGAGTATTAAACATTGATTATTCATACTTCTATATCAGTTAAACCAACCCAGTATGGCTCAGGGAAATAATTAACCATCTCTGAATGAATAATTTGAGCACGTGCAAAGCAGCTTCTTGGCAGACCAATACCTGCAACTGCTGGGAAGGTGACCTTCCTTATTGCTTTGCGTTTACACCTGCCAATCACCAGACTAAACTTCTTTTTATTCCATAGCAACATTTTAAGTCACATCAGCTGGAATGTCTCTAAATTTGTTGAAAATTAAACACACACACACACACACACACACACAAAACACCTTTGTTTTACATTCATATAATAATGAATAAAACTAACACATCCTTACAATAAGCACATTCTTACCTGACTAAATGGCTCATACCTCTTGGGTATCCAATACAGAAGGCCCTCCATATCCACGGGTTCCACATCAGCAGATTCAACCAACTGCAAATTTAAAATATTCAGGAAAAAAAGTTATGTTGTTGCTGATGCAACTATGTAGTTAGGCCTACAATGGGTCTGTACTGAACATATACAGACTTTTTTGTTGTTGTCATTATTCCCTAAAGAATACAGTATAGCAACTATTTTCATAGCATTTACATTGTATTAGGTGTAACAAGTAACCTCGATATGATTTAAAGTATACAGGAAGATGTACATTGGTTATATGCAAATACTATGCCATTTTATGAAAGTGAATTGAGCATCCAATAATTTAGGTATTCACGGGAGTCCTAGAACCAATCCCCAGCAGATACTGAGGGATGGCTTCACTTTTTGTACCTATTGTAGTTCAAAATAATGTAGACTGTTTGGCTGTCGAGTTTTTACATCTCAGGAGAACATTTGTGTAATTCCTGTTTTTCTAAAGTTCATGTAATGAGTCATTGAACCAACATTACTTTTAGAAAGTGAACCTTTTGGGTTAAACAAAAATACTCTTCAGTCGTTTCAATTTTTTTCCTGAGGAAAGGAGAAAAGCATTGGAGTGAGCTAACTAGCCTCACACTATTTGGAGGTTATTTCTACATCCTTCTCTCAATCCTCTTCTCTAGGCTAGGGGACCATCAGATCTCCCCGCTTCTCTGACTTCTGCCCCCGGGTAGCCAAGAGAAAGCCTTCCAAGGCCCTCGTGCCTTTCCCCACAGCTGCCTCCTGCTGTAAGATTTGGACACTGTGGAGTCTCACATATCAGTCCTAGGATTCCTCTAACCATGCCAAGCTACTTCTGCACTTCAGGGCAAAGTAGCAGCTGTCCTCCTCACTGTACCCTTGTGTTTATGGCCCTATGTGACATGAAAATCATGCATGGACTTGGAGAGCATTCTATTAGAAGGATGCATGGAACTTCTTTCTCTCCCCCGTGATTGGAAGAACTAGGTGGAAAGAAGAATGGTTGAAAGTGTCTGCTGTGCACTTCAAAGACAGATGAGTTTTCAAATCGCACAGGTCAATGTGTTTCACAGGGCTATCAATTGCCTTATACTCAGTTCTAAGGTGTCTCCAGGCAGAGAACATCGCACTGAGTCACATCTGAGTCAGCGTAAGTGGAAGTCAACTGCGTGAAGGTTGTGTTTCTGGGAAAGGTAGACTTGCTGATTACACTGCAGTGATGTTACAAGTGAGACAGTGTTCTTTCTATTCACATTTTATTCCCTTTCTCTCACTGTGAAAGAGATTTTACTGCAAGTGTTTCCTCTGTGAATGTGATGAAAAACACAACTGAAAAGCAGTGTGGCAATGTCAGGCACCCGTGCTGTTTCTGATGTCATTATCCTGTTCAGCTAGTGCTGGTGGCTCCGGATGGTCTCTGGGCTTGGAAGGGGGGCGCACTCCACACAATTTCTAAAAGTTTCCAACATATCTCCGTATCTGCAAGGTTTCGTCCCTCCAGTCTATACTGGACTTTGCTTCTACTTATTGTGTGTCACTCTGCTCAGAAACACCCAGGAGCTCTCATGTTTAGTAGTCAAGGCCATCCCCATTCTCGCCATACTTTACCTAATTCAAGCCATACTACCTACCTGCTTCCCCAAACGCATGCTCAGCTCTTGTTGGAATGCCATCACTATCCCTAAGTAACATTCTCAGAGAGGCTGGGTATAGTCACCAAATTGCTACTGCTGAGACATTTACAGATCCTAAACTGAAAAACGAGTTGGGTCTGGAGTTATATTTGTTGCATTGATTAAAAATAAACCAACACGTGGGAAGAAATGCCTCTGACCTTAGCTTGCACTCGCATATACACAGCCACATTACATTAACTGGTGATAAAGTCAGGCATTCTGAGACACTGAAATGTAAAGTAGAAGGAACCTAAGAAGCAAATAAATGTCAGCTACCTTCTTCGTGTTCAAGCATAAAAGGATTTTCAAAATGGCAACGTTGAAGTAAAGCTGTTATTAAGTTTATCAAAGGATTATTCTATCTAAATTTTAATTGTTCAAAAAACATATCACTAATTTCAAGAAAAGCCTAAGAAGAACAGGAGGGAGGAAGTGAAAGGAATTAGGGGACACTCTCAAATACTCACTATAGCCTAAACTGATGATGGATTCAACTTGTCACAAAATTACATTATCTGATATCCTGAATTTTCAAGAAATGCAAAAGCTTACCCATATAAATTAATCTATATATAAAATATTTGCATTCATTATAATGGCAAAGCAATTAAGATATATCTGTGTTTAGGGACCAAAGGTAACCTCCAGTTACTAAATGGCAATATAGATTAGAAGTATAGAATTTAATAATTGTATTCTTTAATGATTCATGAGATTTTATGTATGCCATGGAGTGTTGTCTATAGGGAGTGGGTTATTATTTTGGATAGAATGGAAACCCTAAAAGTGATGTCCGGGCATGGGTGGGCCAGGGCTTGGACCATGTGCTTTCAGGATAACAGCTCATCCATATGTGTAGAGAGATATGCCCATAAACCACTGTACCTCACCTGGCCTATTAAATAGAAACAGGAATGTGAGGAAATACACGTGAGAGAAGTAGAGTGGAGAGGATTAGGGTGGTTGCCACGGGAAGTGGAAAGAAGTGTAGTCCGATGACCTGACATAGAAATTTCTGACATGTATAGCAAACAGTTAGAACCAGAGATGTCATAGATAATACTGTAGATGAATGATGTCTCCAGTTAACACGCAGGGCAAAGCAGATCAGGGAGAACAAGCTAAACAGCCTGTGAGAACATCCACTAACTGACTGTTGATTCCCAATTGGGTCCATTCTGAGCAACCACCTCTCATTGAGGGTAGCAGTGAAAAATAAACAGATACAATTTCTGTATGAAATGATCAGGAATATTTTGCAATGGAAAGTCAAGGCTCCCAATATGTTGCTCTGGCAGAGAATCTGAGAAATGTGGAAACCAGAGACGCTCACACAGAG